TATATATATATATATATATATATATATATATATATATACACTGTTGAAAATAAATTTAAGACCAATGGTTAAAGTTTTATTCATTTCAGAATATGTTTCTAATAAAACAATATAAATTAATTTTATTTTGTACGCTTTATGCAGAATTTATTTCTCTTTTGAATGATGTAAAAATTTTATATTTTTCTACAACTTGAAAAATTTTAATGCTCGGTTAATTTAAATTATCCAACTTTACCAGCAAAATAAGTTTAAGGCTTCATGGGCATTATTATATTTAAAGCAAAAAGTCATAGTAAAAATGTGTAAAAAAAACCTGAAATATTTATCAATATTTAGTATCATAACCTTTGTTATTATTTACAGCTTCATTAACCTCAGGCATTTGAGTTTGATAAGTGAGCACAAAAATCATTTGGAATGCTCTACCATATTTGCTTAATATAATCATATAATTGGTCAGCATTTGTCGGTTTCTTATGTGAACTCTTTTTAGAAATATAATTCCATAAAATAAGTTTAAGACCGCATGGGTATTATGCAAACTGAGAATTGTTATACAATTAATTTGCTATGGGAAAGCATTGTAGTCTTAGCTCAGTGACTAGATCAAAAATAGTCTTACTTCATCAATAAAATGTTTCCTTTATGATTGTAAGCAAGCAATTAAAGTGCAGCAAAATGGCTTGTATTCTGGCTTTGAAGCTTTACCACAATACTGGACAATATAAGGACAGGCAAAGATCAGGAACCCCCAGAAAAACAACAGTGCAAATGGATAGATGAATTCATAGGCTTTCCAAAGCTAACTGAATGCTGATGGCCGTGGACATTTGCAGCCAATTATCTGGTAAAACTGGCATTAGTTTTATGCCACAAACTATCTAAAACTGTCTAAGGGAATTTGGATTATTCGGGTGCACTGCCAGAAAAATCCAATTATTTCGGTGAGGAACCGACTCAAGTGGCTGAATTTTGCAAAAAGTCTTATTTAATGGATGGCCAACAACTGATGCAGACTTCTTTGGAGTGACAAGTCACGCTTATGCATCTTTGGATTGGATGGACAAAACCTTTGTTAGTCGCCACCCAACTGAGGAATTCCATCTTAAATGTGTCAAAAAGACATTGCAAACAGGAGACGGGGTGTAATGGTGTGAGATGCGTTCAGTAGCTTTGATATTGGTCCAATTGTTAAAGTTGATCAAAAACTCAACAGTGTAGGCTATATGCAGCTAGTTAAAGAACATGTTCTGCCATATTTGACTGACCAAATGCCACCGTGAACTATTTATCAACAAGATAGTAGCCCCATTCACAAAGCCAAAGAAGTAATGCAATTTTTTTATCACCATAATATGGATGTCATTGAGTGGCCTTCACAGAGTCCAGATCTTAATCCAATTGAAAATTTATTGGATTATATTTCTAAGAGTTTACGCTAAAAAAAATGACAAATTTAGCCCAATTATATGATTATATTAAGAAAATATGGCAGTTCATTCCAAATGATTTTTGTGCTCACTTATCAAGCTCAATGCCTATGCAATGTGAAGCTGTAATTAATAATGTTTAGGCACTAAATATTGATAATTTTTTATTTTTTTGTGCTCATTTTTAATATAACTTTTTGTTTTAAATATAATAATACCCATGCAGTCTTAAACTTATTTTGCTGGCAAATTTGGATAATTTAAATTAATCCAACATTAAAATTAATCAAGTTGTAAAAAAATATACAATTTTTATATCATTCGAAAGAGAAATACATTCTGCATAAAGCATACATAATAAAACTATATTGTTTTATTAGAAACAGATTCTGACATGAATAAAACTTTAACCATTGGTCTTAAACTTATTTTTGCCAGTGTATATATGATTTTTTATATATATATATATAATTTCAAATTGTAAATTTCCCAATGATCACATAATTTGTAATATTCAAACTTATCAATTGGTTATTTTAAATTAATTAATTATAGATTAAATTTATTGTAATTTTATTTTATTAATAAATTAAAAAATAAATTTTCCTTCAATAAATATAATAAAATATGACATCATGAAATAAGATAATGCAAAACATTGCTAATAAAACAATTATTATAAGCTGAAAATTCACCAGGCATATTTATCATATAAGTATATACTGAGCATGTTATTTTAAAATCATTGACTTGAATAATACAATCTGATATTATCTATCCATATAATTCCACTTTTTATATGACCTTGTACCATACTGCATTTAATGTCACAGTTGTATATAATATATGCATTTTCTATATTTAATCAATTATCAGGATTTCAGATCTGCACACATGCTCATACAAACTCATACAGTCCTGGGTAAGATGATAAAATGTTCAAAAACAAGGCCTCTGATCAGAAGGTTTTGAGGAGTGTGGAACCATCTCTTAATTGCTGGAGTTCCCAGGTCCACCCTAACTTGGGGTGGTAGCACCTGTTAGGGTCCTAGCTACAGGAAAATAGTAACCCCCCCCCGAAAATGGGGTCAAAATTAGGCTTTAATACCAGAAATACTTTGTAAAAAATTACTACCAGCAACACATCTTTTGGAAAAATATTACAAGTGATACATTTTTGAAGGAAAAATGTAACCAGAAATAGATTTTTGAAGAAAAAAATATTACCAGCAATATATTTTTTTTCTAAAAATATTACCATATATATATATATATATATATATATATATATATATACACACACACACACACACAGACTATATACACTCATATAACATGAGGTCTTGCATATCATTGTTTTCAAAATTTTCACTTATAAAAAATGATCTCATCATGTATCTCATGTATTATGCAAGAGAGACCAAATAACAATAGACTAACCTCTTTTCCTCTATCTCTTTATTCCATCTTCTAGTTAAATAAGTTAAAGAGAATGATAAAAGTATCGTTAGTAATGCTATACTCGTTACATAAATGCATAGAGCCATAAACAACCGAACAAGTAACAGCTAAACATCTTATAAATGTAAACAATGGAAAAGATGCATATTTGCTATGTTTGTATTTTATAATATGATGCTAATATGTGAATATTACATGAATTATTATTATTGGATATGGTTAAATCAAACATTGGTTTTATCAAAATCATGTTTATTTTAAATACAGCTGTCCTTTTGATTCCAGTAAATTATTTATAGTTTGGTCAACAGTACATACACTAATTTTATATCTCATGTATAATGCATTTAAAATTTTAAAATTAGGTTAAATTGTCAGTTTCCTGAACATTGGAAAATATGCTTGATATTTATATATTTTTAATTAGATAAATCAAAAAATATTCGATATATATAAAATATATGTATATATAAAGAATAAAAAATAGAAATAGAAATTTATTGACCTATTGAAAGGATGTCAATGTGTTTTTATTACAAATCACAAAATAGATTTTTAAAATCAAAAGGAAATGGTTGTTCTTTTAATTTTATGAATCTGTTTTTTACAGATAAAGTCCAAATGGATGGTTACGCTTGAAAACAATTACCAGTTTTCCTATTGTCATTTTTATTCATAAAAATTGTCTTCTACTGGTTAAATGGGTTAGAAATTTTATATATATATATATATATATATATATATATATATATATATATATATATTTAATATTATATATATATATATATATATATATATATATATATATATATATATTATGTATATAAAAAAAAAAAAAGAACAGTAAGATATAAAAAGAGGTGTTCTTATAGATATTTTATTTTTTACAAAATAGTGCTCAATGTAAATTTATGAGATTAAAATTATAAATTAATTGATTTCTTATAAAATTTTTTATAAATTCAGGATATCCATGTTTTCAAAAAATGAAGCTAAAATCCCCGAGTTTAATTTTGCAATTAAATTAATGAAATGGAACTAATGCCTTTAATTTAATTGCAAAATTAAACTTTTTTTTTTAGCAATTTTTGAAACATGGTTAGAACTGTTATATTGAAAAAACCATATTTTTAAATCAATTAATTTATAATATATATATATATTATAAATTAATTATTTTCTAATCTATAATATATATATATATATATATGTTGTGTGTATATATATATATATATATATAATATATATATCAAGAAAATAGTAAATTAATGACAAGAGAGTAAACTGTGTTGTGAAATGTTTTGTTTCTAACAGAGCATCTTCAGGTAAACTAAGGTATTTTCCCACCTCCCAATTTATAATGAGGCTAGGATTAGCTCAATAGGATTGTTTTTAAGGTGGGTCTTCAATCAGCCATAACAAAAATTGCCTTGTCCCTGTGGCAACAGTCATGTCAATAATTCACTGCAATATTTCACTGATTGAATTGACGCCAACCTTAAATCAATTCCTTCTATAAAAAGAGAAAAATACAATAAACTTTGGTTCCAGTTTACATCCAAATGTTACAGATACACAAATGTTCAACATTTCAATTTTAATGCCCAATTGTGTTTCAGTTTTAAACTTAGCCATTCTCATTTAACGTTTTATCATTTATTATTTTTATTGTTTTTTAATTATCCTAATATTAATAATAATTTTGTAAGAAAAGGAATTGTATTCATCTTCATTGGGTACTCCATCTTTGCGCCACATCTAAGCTACCCTTAAAAAATCACCATAATCTGTCCAAATCTCTGTAGAACTTATACATCACACTTTGATTGGTTGATTGGTATGTTTTTCATGACTTATCAACCTTTTGCAGGTTATTTAAAGCCAGAAAACAGTTCTAGATTGTAAGAATTTTTTTGAGATAATAATAATAATAATTTACTGATATAAGTCCTACTAATTAACCCATAGTTGGGGGGAGAAGAGGTGGATTCATATCTTTCTCAAGGGTATTTGCATGTCAGTGAATATAACTTGACTGGAATTGGAACTCTGCTTTCCAATTTTCAATTCTGAGCCATTATCCATTACACCAGCCACACATCCAAGCTTACAGCATTTGGTATTCCCAAGTGGTCACCCATCTAGGTACTGACCAGGCTTGATGTTGCTTAACTTTGGTGATTGTACAAAAACTGGTGTTTCAACGTGCTATGGCCATAAGCCCATCACAGATTGAATGACATGCCTGGCAAATTAAATAGAAGATGAACTTTTCTTATTAAAAGAAAACATTTTTAAAAAATTATTAAAAAAGGCAGATTATGAATATATTTGTTTATATAAAGATGTTTGTTGGGGAAAAAATTTATGATAATATGGAAAAAGTTTTCTTGTGTTATTATATTCCTCATTTAGGACCTCATCAGACTAAGTATGTTTTGTTGGTGTGATTACACATGCATGCAAATGAGTAATATTGGGAATTTAAACATTTTATTTTTTATCTTTTAAATGTGTAGTCACACTAACATAACAAATTTAGTCTGATGAAGTCCTAAGGGACGAAATACATCACAAGAAAACTTTTCACCATTATTCCCTAATATAGTTCTTTGTTATCTCAAAGATGTTTAGAAAAACACCAAAATATTTGTATTTTGCTTATTTCTTTGTAACTCTAGCCTAGATTTGTCCATACTAACTTTAATTAATGAATTTAATCACATACTCTTTAAATATTTATTTACTTGTTATTTAATTTTTATTTTATTTTGCTTTCAGTCAGAAAGTTTTATATATACGTTTTTGAGATTTAATTTATGCATCAAATGTTGTTTTTGAATTAGTACATATTTTCGGTAAACTGCTTTCTCTAATTTGGAGATGAGTCATTATCATTTGAGAAACCATTCTCAGAATATTGAACTCATCCTTTGTGTTGTTGCTACAACATTTCAGCTGATTCCTACAACAGCCCGCCTTCTTCAGGTGTATATACACCATAAGAAATGGTGTAGGGCTTCTTTTTTCCTGACTTGGATAGATCAGAAAAAAAGAAGAAAAAGGAAAAAACGGCCATAGCTTAACATTTTTTTTCTGATTTACTCTTCCTTAAAAGAAAAGAAAATCAAAACACTACACTAGTGTTCACCTGAAGAAGCAAGTAAAGATGAACTGAAATGTGGTAACAGAAAAACCAAAAGTAATAAAAAGAATGAAACCCAGTCTGAGCAAATATTGCAATTTTCAGTAAATTTTAAATAACAGTATTAAATAATATAAAAGACACAATTCTAAGGCACCGTGTTTAGTTTATTTTTTTTTTCGAGGTATAAATGTTCAAAAAATATTAAAATTAACCAAGGCGTTTCTAAGTAGCAAGGTTGCCATGGTAACGATTTTTCCTTAACTTTTTTTTTTATGCCGTTCTGATGATGTTCTTACTGAACGAAACGTTGACAACAGAACAAAATTTTAAACTGGTTTTCAGTTTTCACATATTTCCATCTTTTTATTTGGATATTTCATTGTCATAACAGTTAAAAATATCTCGGCGCTACTAAAATAAATAAATAAATAAACGAATGCTTAAAATAAAAAAAATATTGCCGACCCCCAATTTGTTACCGATCGTACCAGCCATTTTCAGTAGTGCCAATATATCCAAGTTTGTAAATTATTTTTCTTTCACGTTACAAATGAAATATATTTTTTAAGTTAGTAAAGTAGAGCGTTTTGTTTTTTGTTTTTTATCCTTTTTAATTTTAATTACATTTTTTTGTCCTATTTCCTCCTCTCAAAAAGTAAGAACATTTCGTATATTTGCTAATTTCAATTTCAATTTATTTTTAGACTACTTTCTTACAGTTTTTATTCAATATTTCAAAGAATAAAAAAATGAACCTTTATTTCAAATTTTTTCCTTTTTGTTTTTCTGTCCCGAAACTAAAAAAGAAAAAAATGTGTTTCTTGAGAAATGCGTAAAGAAAGAGACAAGAAGAGGTTTTTTCCCAATCGGAAATAAAAAAATAAATTTTATTTTATCCACAAATAAATTAAAATTGAATATATTCAACAACCTTATTTTTTTTTAAACCGTATTCAAATGAATCCCTAAAAACTTTAACTCTTCATTTCAAATTTAACTTGATTTTTAGTCTCAACAAAGATCACTTTTTCGTCGATTTATTTTAATAAAACATCAGACAAATGGATAATAATAGTTTGTATTAAAAAAATAACTAATCCTCTCAAGAATTCAATGCCTCCCTGGGTGATATTTATTTTTGACAATGTTGGGGTCCCTTCCCTACAATATATTTCGACCTGGGCCGCCTGTATTTTTTTTTTATCATGAATAACTGTTTGTCCTCCCACCCCACGAGAAATAATGAATAATAATGATTGATAAATATTTTTCATGAAAGTAGAAGTTCACTTTCGTGCTTTCTTAGTCAAATATTTTTGTCTATTCCTAGTCTTCTTTATTTGATTTTTCTCCCCATTATTAAGAAACCATTTTGACAACGTTCGCTTTTAAATGTTTCTCCTACTACACAGACTTCTCAAATGTTAATAAATCTATCTGTGATGTCGGCGAAAAAAAATACCCCTTTTTTTCTGTATAGGAAAAATATCTAGATTTCATACTGCAACTCGTTTAAGAATGTAGAATTCTTCGCGAAATATTTCATTCATTCATTGAATTTTACTTTTTTTTTTTTTTTTTAGCATGTCTTTTTCTCATGAAGTCGACCTCCTTAAATTTTATTACGTCTCTTTCTCTCTCTCTCGAATATTGCTCTTTAAATAGTTTATATTTTACTTGGTTTTTAAAAATATTGCACTTAACAAAATGATAGTTTCATGTATTTTCGATATCTTATAGCAATTTCATAAATCATAGCTTTTTAGAAGAAAGTTATTCGCGTGGTTTTGTTTTGAAGGGTCATTGTTTTAGCATGACTCATATTGCCAATTACATGATTGAAGAAGATTTTGACAACAGTCAATAATATTCATTTGGAAAGGAAAGAAAAGCTGATTAATGAAAGTAGGAAATATTTTTAAAAGCCTAACGTTCTTTGCCAATCTAAAAACACTAAATATAAATTTTAGCTACGTTTTTTTTTTTTAAATCTCTCCGGCAATTATTCCCATACAAAAAAAAAAATAAAATAAAATGATTAATAAATTTTAATAGGCATATAAAATGACTATTCTTTTTAATAAGAGTTATTTGCAAGAACAATTGCTGGAAAAAAAAAATCAGTCGGTGCTGAAAAGTTCTCGTCCAAACCAATTCCCCAAAATGTCCAAACATCAGATCAGAAGTATTTATTCGGGAAATCTGTTGACCAAAATAACTTTTTAGTACATTCTCGAGTGTGTACGCATTAGTGTGTCTCATTGGATAATTTAGACAAGTTTTGTCTATATTTTATTTCGTCTAAATTATTTAATGAGACATGTTTTAATGAAAACATGCTGCCAAAATATACGCAATAAGTGTGTGTGAAAGAGAAGAAAGTATGATTTGTTTTTTAGTCATTTTTTTGCTTAATGATGGATCAAAAAGTTCGTAACCTAACGAGTTCTGAATATTTTGATCTGAGATTTTCACTGTATAATAAAAAGTCATAACCATGTGATTTTTAGCACTAAGTCAAAAATTCATTGGTAAGGAAAAAGTGGAATGTTTTTATTTTTATTTATTAATTTATTTAATTATTAAATGCTTTTTCATTAGGCCACATGTACCTATACACACACACAGAGGTTAGCAAGCATGTCTCGCTAGAGATCAATTAGGAAGGTGAGTTCGATCCTCACTGGGTGATCCTAATATTCGGCCTTGTGCCACATCTAAGGTATGAATAAAAAAAAAATTCGAGTATAAAATTGTACACGAAGAATACGTACACAAATATAGCAAAAATATTTATGTCGACTTAGCCTGGCAAAAGTTTACATTACAAACAAGGTACACAGTGCTGATCGAACTCGCCAAACTAGTAAATAAAATTGGTCAGAGAGATGGGCTTGCTCATATGTATAATTTATTTACTAAGCATAACTTTGTTTGGGCACAAGGTATGAGTCCACAGTGAAAATCGAACTTAACTTACTCCTACTAAATGATCTGCGTGGCTAGAACCATTTTTTATACTAACAAAGAACACGAGTTTTCTGATAATTTAAAATTTTAATCGAAGGAATGATAATGCCTATTTTGCAATATTGTGTTTTAAAAAAAAGTACTAACTAGTATCTGTTATCTGTGTTGATAATAAATTACACAAAAGGATTATTATTTAATTTATATATATATATATATATATATTAAGTTTTTCCCATTTATTCGATATTTGAATATTATTTAAAATGAATTTTTCAGGCACCGACCAATTTTTTCTTCTTTAAATAAGTAAGAATGTTTTCAAATTTGATCATTTTCTGTCTTGAAATATATCTTTCTTTTTGAAATCAGGACATTTTCTCCCTTTTTCCCTCTTTTTTTTTTTTTTTTTTTTTTTTTTGGTGTTGTTTAGATTTCTTAAATCATCCAATTTTCTTTCGCCATTTTTCCCAAATCTTTCATCGTCTTCATTTTTCACATCCGACACGCTCCATCTTGTTTTTATCTTTCAACCTGATTCTCTTTTCTTCGTCATTTTCGGCCTCATTTTATTAACTGAATCATCAACTCTTTTTTTTTCTCCCCCCACCCCTATATTTGCTATTCTTTTAATTCTTATAGCATTTCTTTGTTAATTTGTTCTTTTTAAAAACTGGTTTGATATTTCTCTACCCTCCCACTTTTAAAAAAACTTTTGCCAGCATTATCTTTTTGATACAATGTGTAACTGTACTCTAAAAAAGAAAGACAAAGATCAGAGAATCTTAAAAAAAAAATGTATACAATCGCTTAAATAGTTGATAACTAAACATTTAATATTTGGAGAAAAAATTTATTGTTTAAAGAATCTTACAAAAATGATAAGTTGTTTTTTTTCTTTATTTTACGATTTCTTGTTTGCAATAATTTTCATTTTGTATTCTCTATGCATTTAGTTAGGACATTTTAAAAAAATTCCTGAAAAAGTTGAATTCTGATTCTATTTTTTGTTTGTTTTTCCTTAAAGATGTTAAAATCTAAAAACTAAATAGGGTGTTACAAGGTAGGCTATCTCCGTCTGTTCACATCTAATCTATTCTAT